AACTTATTTTTGATTTCCGGTTTTACTTATTTTTAATCGATTTGTCTGGAATGTTATATTAAAACAAATAAATAAGCAGCAAAGTTGGGCCGGGCCGAACTTTTATAGCCTCCATAAAAAATGCCGTTGTACCGTTATATAGGGGCTATACGAAAACGTAGACCGACATGACCCATTTACGAACTTAACCTTTCTACTAACAAAATACACGTGTGTGCAAAATTTTAGCCTTCTATCTCAATTCGTTCGAGAGATAGCGTGATTACTGAAGACAGACAGACACATAGGCAAACGGACATCGCGACATCGTCTTAAAATTGTACGCTGATCCAGAATATATATAATTTGTAGGGTCTATCATGAATATTTTGATGTTTTACAATGGGAATGACAAAGCTAATATACCCTCCATAGAATGGTGGACGGTATAAAAAACATTCTGCTAAAAATATCAATAAAGGTTCTTCACAAGGCATATCTACTAGGGAGTGTTGTCGTGTCAGCTGTCTCTAAATATTATATGTCAAAGTAACAACCATTTTCTTAAAAACAAAAAATATAGCAAAATCAACCTCTAAAAATGTGGGTCAAAAATGATGATGTAATTCTTAAGAAATATTTTTGGTGATATTATCTGAAGAAAATGGTGACGAAAAAAATTCTACTTTTTGAAAATGTCTAACATATTTAGTTTAGTTTCACTACCTATTCGATATATCTTGATTCTTCAGAATATTGCATTCTGAGTGGGTAGAAAATTGTTTTCACTCGTTTCGCAATGAACATCAAACACTAACTCCTTCCCCAACGCCATTTATCCTTCATTTTCGACACTCTTCATTAATTAACATCAATCAGTCTAACTACATCTTGTTAAAATTAATTTCAATGTCGTTTACCACGAAAGCGCTGCTCAACGAATTGCACGATGAAGAACAAGCTAGTGTGTGTGTGTGTGTGTATGTATTTGTTATCCTAACGTTGTGGTGTTTATTTGCAAACTAATTAAAAGTAAAAGTGCTAAATGATGACATTAAACATTAATGGTATTAGATCAAAATGATAGTAAATAGAATTTTAAAATAAACTGACTAAAAATGCAACAATTTCAAAGGGAATTAAGTTTGACAGAAATACATTTGATGTAATATTATTTAAATAAGTATCAAAGCTGTGGGTTTGGGATTTAAAAAAAAATATTTTTTGAGGATCAAAATAAAATTGAAGGTAAAAAATTCGTTTTTATATTTGTATCTCTAAAATCTTTAAATTGCATATTGGTAGTGAAAAATTTAAATTCACCTATAAATCTGTCAGTCTTTCAAAACTATTCAGAGCAAATCAACAATTGCAGATTTGAGAATCATAGTTTTTTGAATACTTTTCTAATACTATTACATGTATAATCGAATTTAAGTTTTTCAATACCATTGCGGTAATTTTTTAAACTTTTTTTATGATTTTTGTACCCTACAACACTATGTGTTGGGGGTATTATAAGTTTGATTGGGCCAGAATTTATGTAACACCTCGAAATATTGGTTTCCCATATAGGAAAGTATATATGGATCTTCCTAGCTCGCCGAGCTGAGCCGATGTAGCTATGTATGCCCGTCCGTCCGTCTGTCCATGTTAATTTGTAATCACTCTACAGGTCGCAATTATGGCCCGATCTTCACGAAATTTAGAATGGAGGTGGGGTTAAGGTCAGAATAGAACCATATTTGATGATCGCATAATATTTAGGGGTTGAAATGGACCAAATACTAAAAAAATGTCGGATTTTGCAGTAGCTATACAGGTCGCAATTATAGACCAATCGACGCGGAATTTCGCATGTAGGACGGGGAAGAAGCCTACCAATTTTGATGGTCATCGGATAATATTTAGCGGGTAAAATAGACCATATCTTTTTTGTTGAAAAAATTCAACTTTTTTCATTAAACCGCGAATATTTTAAATCCCGGTGAAATCACAAAGCCATGACAAGGTTACTTCTGATCTTTACATTGATGTTAACATCCAACAAATCGGATATATAGCAAAATATGTGCGATATATATGTCTATCAAAGAAGATATGCTTGAAAGATCTCTTATATGTCGAGAACGGCTGAACTGATTTCGACAGTTCTCATTAATTCAGAATGGCCTATTGGCAGAAAAGAAAAAACGTCTAAAAAATCGCATAAAAATGTCTCTCTAAAGATGAAAATATTAATTTTGTAAAATTTTCTCATATTTTTTTCAATTTTGTCATATTTTTGGCATATTTTCATTTTGAATTAAACATTTGGTAATATTTCTACAGCTAACAAAACTAAGTAGTTAGGATATCAGGATATCATATACAGATCGCTTTCGTGGCCCGATCCTTACGAAATCTTGCATGGGGATAAGATGAGGGTCAGAATAGAAGCCTACTCTTTTTGGAGATGATCGCCATATATTAAGGGGTTGAAATGGACCAAAAAACTGCAAAATTGTCAGCAGGTCGTAATTATCGCCCGACCCTCACGCACATTTGAATGGGGGTTACCGGACATTACAAAAGCCAAGCAATTTTGGATGGCCATCCCAAAAATATTCAATGTGTAAAGGAGTTTGCCAACTTTTGTAGACAAAATACGAAAATGTCCATTCCAGTGACTTTTTGGAGAATTCACAAATATAGGAAAGACGCACTCAAATGTCTGTATCTCATATAGATGCGTTTCAGTCAAAAACCAATAATAAATGTTAATCTTTTGCTACTTCTAAGATATTATAGGTCTTTGGAAAATATTGGTTTCAGATCTAGGAAGACCATTTACCAATAAATTGGAAATGAGCAAATTAGTTTAAGTTCCTATTAGAGAACGAAACCTAATGGTTTTCTTTTATTATTTGTCACAATGTCTTGTGGAATTCTTTCGAGTATCCCCCCTATATAAACTGTATCATTTATTACAGTGTTGTAGGGTATTCAACGGTCGGCCCCGCTCGACTGTAGCCTTTGCTTACTTGTTTTTATTTAATTTTATGATATTTTTAACGACTTTAAGAGGTAGAACCGTGGTTATTTAAGAATATTTATTCAATATATTTATATTTTTAAACTCGGACTTTTACCGCTCCGTACCATGTGTCTATGCTCCAAACTACCTGGGTGCGGGTAGTCAGCTTTGTATATCAATAAAATTAATTTATTCGGTCAAAACGAGTCTCATCGAAATAAGGGTTTTAAACCCTAAGTCTCGTTGGACAATCAGGACAATTGGAGTCGATAACTTTCGAAGAAGTATTTGATTTGGTCCAAACTTTGTAATGTTATTATCAAACTTATATCGAGTTCGAAGATTGGCAACATTGATACACTCCTTCTAGGTCCTCCCTCACAAAAGGTCGAAATTTTCAAAAAAAAAAAAAAAAAAATATATATATTTTACTACACAGAAAGAGAAAGGATAATCCGATTTTGCACCAACTTTGCAAATACTAATATTTGCATCAGTTCTAGTTCTAGTGTGAAAATGGACAATGTCGGTCCACACTTTCTCTAGCCACACACACAAAGGGTCACAATTTTGAATAATTATAACTCTCATAAAATGTGAAATTGGTGTCCGATTGTCTTCAAATTACACATACCACAATATTTTTATTAATCCAAGGTCAACCCAATAAGTAAGTGGAATGTTCAAGTTGTGTGGCCAAAAGGCTTTAATACACCCATAGAATATTCGGCATTTATTCTGATGCCACGGTCGATTAATACGAGCGGAGAGCGACCATCGGCTGTTATGGCGGCCCACACCATCACCGTGGCCGGCGCTTGAGTTCTGGTGGCCAACTGAAGGTGCATATTTTCAGCTGACCTCTTTGGTAAGTAAACACGATAATTTTTTCTGTTTACCAACAGCTGGACAACAAATGTTTTCTTATCCGAGAAAACCAAATTCGGCAGTTCACCATTTTCGGCCAAGCGAAGCAACTCTTTAGCTCTTTTGAGTCTATTTTCTTTCAGTTGCGGTGTAAGTTCTTGCACTTTTTGGAATATCAGTGGCTTTACCCCGAGCCCATTTTTCAATATTTGCCGAATAGAATATTGTAATTTGTTCAGCTTACGAGCCATTTTTTGGTCACTGCGATGCGTCGCGGGTTTCGATCAAGTCGCTTCTTTACTTTTCGAACCATTTCTGCTGATGTTGCTGTTTTCTTCCCTCCACATCCTTGACGTCAGGCTACGCTAAAAAATCACACAAAACCATCACACAGGCTAAAAATTCACATTTAAATGCTGGAATGCTCTAACGATAGCCACTTATGGGTTTCCAGCTAAATATAAAGAAATCAAACTATCACGCTTGAATTCCATCACGAATAACATTTTTTCTGGAAAAATAAGGTTCATAGTTGGTATGATCTACTTCACATAAATCCCCTAATAAATATTTTTTGTTACAGGAGCTCTACTAAATACGCATAGTGGTGTAGGGTATCATATAGTGGGACCGGCCCGACTTTTGACCTTTCCTTACTGATTCAAATAAGGTTTTTAAATACAATTATTATTTTTTTAAACATATTCGTGATATTATTCCTTATTATAAAAACTAAACTTCGCAACACAAGATTTTGGTTAATAAAATAATAATCTCAAAAAAGTAAAAATATTACAGTGAAGTACTAAAATCACAGAATCGTAAATTTCAAATTATTACAACTGAGTATTGATATTTTTTGTATTATCTTTATCTTCTCTTGTATTAAAAGATTTATGAATTCTCTCTTGAATTCATAAACTCTCAAGATTATAGCTCTTGTTCTCTTATTTTTTGTCGAGTATTTTTACATTTTTAAAGTCAGGAAAGTTTTCCCACTGATTGATGTGCTGGGATAAAGCTGTATTTTCTTTTTCAATTTCCGTCCAATTTAATATTTTTATTGACTACTAAATTTCCAAAATTATGGGAACGAAAATACCTAAACATCATTAACCAATAATTGCACATAACTTACCTTCTACATCTTAGAACTACGACCATAACAATAGCACCTATTAGAGCTGATAGAATTGAGACTACAATCAATGTAAATGCCCAGCCAATTTCTCCAGATGCATCTGTAAATAAATGATAAAAAAACAGAAAATCATAAAATTAGCATTTAATATATGGACATAAATCGCTGCTTTGTAATCTTTATTTCAACAATGAATTTATTTAATAGAATTGTTATGTTAATACGATTTAAATTTTTAATATGTGCCACAAGAAAAACCAAAACAACAACCAAATAACTTATGCATTTCAATGGTTACTCTATTGTTTTCACGTCACAGAACTGAGAAATCGAACTAACAAATAAACGAAAATAATAAAAAAACTGTTGCACCGTATTGTCGAACACATAGCCAAATGGATATCCAAATCCAATTGAATGGCATAAAAATTGAAAGTTATGGCGGTTATAAATGCTTACATTTTTGAATTAAAAAAAAAACTTGGAACAAAAGATGGAATAAGGAATTGGTTGTAAATGCAGCAACATTTATTACAGTTTTGTGGTTTGAAATTTGAGCTTTTCAATATAATATTTAAAACGAGGTGTTGATTTTTACTTAGATATTGAAATATTAACAAAATTGTATTTTATTTTGAAATTTATGGAATAAAGCTTTAAACATATAAGCATTTTAAGGGCGATAAAATAATACCATAAAATAAATATTATGGGTCATATAAGGTCCCTCTGAAATAATGGTGGCACTCGTATAAAATTTATATTTGACATATTTGCATTTAAAGTTACATTCCCACCCGTGTGATACCCTCCATTACTATGCGTATTTAGTAGAGCTCCCGTAACAAACAAGTTTATATTGGGAATTTATGTGCAGTAGGTCATCACAATTTAGAAACCATATCCAACTCGTAATCGATTTTCAACAAATTTGACGGAGGAGTACCAGATAACATTGCTGTATAGAGCATGATATGACTTCGATAAGAATTATATTAAAGAAATATTTATTGGAGCAAAGATATACCGGGCCGAGTTGCACCAAATGGAAAAATTCGGTAGAATATGAAAATATCTATTCAATTTGGGCTGATATTGCATTCATGGTGGACAATAACCGTAAAATCAGGTATCGGATCGGAAAATCGAAGGTATATACAAATCTGAACCGATCTCGATAAAATTTGGCAGAGGTATTTTGGAGCACTATCCGATATCAAATATTATTGTTGTGGAGGGCATACTACGCATGTGAGGGACTTAAAACCCCAAATCGGATGCTTTAGCTAAATCTGAACCGATTTTCATCAAATTTGATGTACTTGCTTCTATGCCGAATAAGGTCGTATATGTCAAATTCCACTCAATTTGGGCTACTATATAGGAGCTATAGCTAAATCTGAACCAATTCTTCCTTTTAGACTTAATTTGTTACAAGACAAATTGAAAGAAGATAAATATATGGGGCCTATATCTAAACTTTGATCGATTATCACCAATTATAATAGGGTTCGTCGTTAGGGTTCGTTGGGTATAATAATATTTATATTATTTAATAGTTCTGCCGTGCCCAACTTTAAATTTTCAAAAAAGAAAAAAGAAATAAATTCGATATCGTTTCCGAACTTCAAATACGAAATTTGGCGAATAATGTCGATAAAATCATCAAAATACCAAATAAAGGTTGTAGTCTCAAGTACGAACTTCAAATACGAATAATGTCAATAAAATCATCAAAGGTATCGTTATATGGTGGCTATAGGAAGACGTATACCTCCGTAGACAATTTTCTGTCATAGGCTGTATCACCCATTACAAACTTTGAATACGAAAATTGAAATGGTTGAATGGTTGTAGCACCCATTACGAACTTCAAATACGAAATTTTGGTGCTATAGTAAAACATAGACCTATATAGACAATTCTATTCCAGGCGGCAAAGTACTCAGAGGAAACCCCCTGTGTGGATTTTCAGACTATTCCAATGAAAAATTTGGCTAAAATCAAAAAAATACCGAATATCGGAAGGTGCCGTTATCTGGAGGATATACGAAATTAGGGACATATATAGACAATTCCCTTTCAGGTGGTAAAGTGCTCACAAAGAACTCCTTGTGTAGAATTTTAGTCAATTCCATTGAAAACTGTTTATTTTTATTTTATAGGCTGTAAATCTTCAAATACGAAATTTGAAAGAATTCCGGGGAATAATGTCGCTAAAATTATAAAAATACCGAATATCGGGAGGTACCATTGTATGGGGACAATAGGAAAACGTGGACCGACATTGTCAATTTACGGACCTGCATACTTGTAAAAAACGTGTGCAAAATTTTAGCCTTCTATCTCAATTCGTTCGAAAGATAGTGTGATTACAACATATTGACAGGCGAACATTACTAAATCGACTTAGAATTTTAGCCCAATCCATTTTTTTTTTCGTGGAGATACAAACGAAATGACAAAGTTAATATACCCTCCATAGAATGGGAGAGGGTATAATAAATAGCTTGAGTTGGAACAATGATAGGAAGTATCTTTTCTATCTTCTTGAAGAGCTTAAACTATTTTTTGACGAAGAAACCCGCTCTTAATTTCCAGCGATGAGATCATCGATTCCTTGAATATTTGTGGTGCAAATACCAAGTACATCCGACTTAACCCCAAACAATGCAGAAAACTAGATTTCTTTCCCCATTTGATGAATACTTCCTTGTTCACACAATGATGGGGCAAACTTTCATTCATTCAAAAATTCATTGAAAAATACACGTTTTCTTCCCACACCTTAAAAAATGTTGGTTCCTCCTTCCCTCTCGTCCCACAACCAGAAACAAGCAAAAACACAAAACTTTGTTTTCAGATATCTCAAAATATAGTTACGCATAATATTTTTCTCCCCTAGTAGTTTCTTTGTATCTCATACACACACACAACCCGAAAGAACCCACCAGTCATCATTCATGCCCATTTCAATGATGATTTGGCACAAAACAAACCCCCCCAAAAAAAAACACACAACTGAATATTTATGTTATTTGCTGTTAATTATACACTAATATTCGTATAATGAGTTTCGACTTTTGTTAGTTGCAAATGAACTCAAAATTTAATTCAAGCAATTAGTTCTGAACAATACAACAGCCATAAACCAAACAATGCCGAACGAACTAAAAACACGCGGCTTAAATTATTTCATTTTGTTGTAATTTGAATAAAAACCTCATAATTATACGAGCCAAAGCATCGGCGCATAAAGGTATGAAGTGTAATTTTGTGCTGATCCCATGGCCGAAAAGCACCAAAATCGCTGGGATAATGAAGGCTTACCGCTGATGTTCCCGTTGCTACTGCTACATTTACATTTACTTATTTAAATAAAAATAATGTAGAAAATTTCATCATGACAATACAGAAAATATCTACATCGTGCGAAAGATGTAATTTAAATTGAGCAATGGTCGGTAGGTTGGATGGCTGGATAAATGTTTGATTCGAGCACCTGTTGCAATGTGCGTATTTACCGAGTGATGAGTATATAACTGTTTGTGTTTAAAAGAAACTGAAAACAAAGAGAATAGGAAGCGGAACTGTCCATCGGCATCCACAAAAGAACCTGCTATCTTGAAGACTGAGAAATCACAAGCCGTATTATTGGGTGCACCCCTTATTACTGTTCATTTTGAGATTATATGACCATATTTATACCCTACACCACATAGAGGTAATGGTATTATGTGTTTGTGCATTTATTTGTAACATGGAGAAAGACGCAAGATAGACCCATAGCTAATTTTGAGGATCTTTATAGAATCACTTTCCGAGTTGATATATGCATGTAGGTTTGTCCGTCCATCTGTCCATGTATTCTTGTGAACAAAATGGCGGTCGCATTTATTATCCGATTGAAATGAAATTTTCCAAATAAAATTTGTTTGGCCTAAGGACGAACCTTACTGAAATTTGTGAGAATCGTTTCAAATTTAGAAATAGCTTCCATATATATCTTCAAACGATTTCGGGTTAATTGTGCACTAAATGGCCAATATCAGTTTAAATTACCTGAATTTTGGCACATCCGACAATATTTAGACTAGAAGCAAGTACATCAAATTTGGTGAAATTCGGTTCAGATATAGCTATAGCTCCCATATATATGTTTCACCCGACTTGGTGTTTAAATCCCTTACATTCGTAGCATGCACTCGACAACAATGATATTTGGTACCAGATATCAGATGCAGCCCAGTAATACCACTGCTAAATTTTATCAAGATCGGTTCAGATTTTGATATAGCTCCCATACATATCTTCAACCGATTTTGGGTTAATTGCGCACCAAATTGCCAATATGAGTCCCAATGACCTGAATTTTGGCACATCCGACCGAATTCAGTCTAGAAGCAATACCTCGAACTTGGGGAAAATCGGTTCAGATATAGCTATAGCTTCCATATACAGGGTGAGATAAAAAAACTGCAACAAAGTCAATGCAATAATTTTTACATTTTGTTTTTAAATTTTATTGAATGAAAGCAAAAAATGTCGGAAATAGCATCAAATTTTAAAATAATTTTAGATTTGTTCGAATTGGTCACCTTTGACACGAATTATGGCCTTAAAACGGGCAATGAAAACGTCACACGGTGCCGGAATGTTGCACTGCTGTATTTTGGCCCATTCCCGGCGAAGCGCTTGCTTGAGGTGATCGACACTATGGTATTTTTTAGTGCCAACCTTGCTTTCCAAAACACTCCAGACACAATAGTCCAACGGATTGGTATCCGGAGATTTTGGTGGCCATTGAGCGCTGGAAATGAAGCGAGGAACCTCATTTTGTAAACATTCTTGGGTGGCGCGTGTTGAGCGCGATGGTGATGAGTCCTGTTGGAATGTCCAAGGTCTGTGGCCAAAATGTTTGCGTGCCCAAGGCTTTAATACACCCTCCAGAATATTTTCGCGATAATATTCGGCATTTATTCTGATGTCACGGTCAATAAATACGAGTGGAGATCGATCATCGGCTGTTATGGCGGCCCACACTATCACCATGGCTGGCGCTTGAGTTCTGGTGGCCAACCAAAGGTGCACATTTTCAGC